AAAATTTTTTGGGACCGCGGAATGTGGACCCCCGCCCTTGGGACCGCAAGAAGATGGATCCCCGCTTTGCGAAGCCCGTTTTTAGAGACCCGAAGTCGTTTTTGGGTTTTGGGCTTTCGGGGAAGCTCGAGCTTGCTTACGGGAACGGGGAGGATCCCGGTGCTAGGAGCGGGAGACGCACTACGCGGACATTTTGCAACTGATGGATCTGCTCCACCTACAGACGGGAGAGGAGCAGAGACGCTGGCAGCACGAGAAGGTCCCCGACAAGGGAGGAAGGGGATCCGACACGGCAGCTGTCACCAGCGCCAGTCGTCGACGAGCCAAATCCCGCTCCGATAAGCCACGATCGCGCTCCAGGACCAGCTGTTGCTGCTGAGTTTGGGCTGCAGCGAGTTGATCCCGGAGTTTCGCGGCGGTCGCATCGGCTTCTTTCAATTTGTCACCTGGATGGACAATAACGAGTGAATATGGGGCTACTAGCAAGGACTAAAAGAGGATCCACGTACTCGTGCGGCGAAGCATGGATTCCAGCTCTGTTTGTGCACGCTTGGCAGCCGCCCACTCGGTAGCCGCCTTGTCCCGCTGGAGCTCGCTGTCCGCCAGTTTCGCTTGGATCTCGTCGCGTAATTGAGTTATACGCACGAACTCCTCGAGCGCGTACTCTCGTCCGGCAGACGCTTTCTCGAGCGACTCCTTGGTATCCTGCAACTCCTCAGCAAGCTGAGCCAGAGCTACATCCGGCGACGAGGGAGGTGGATTTGGCGCGGGAGATCCTCCACGCGCCGACCCTAAGGTGGATCCGCCATGGGTGGATCCCACATAGTCGTTGGTCACCACCTCCTCTTGGGTCAGACGCAACTCGTCACGGAGCCGGTCCAAGCTCGCATCCGCAGCTGCCCCAGCAGTCTGGGAATCCTCCAGATCCCGCTCGAGGTCGTGGATCCGGGATTGGAGCTGGTGGATCTCAGATCCAGCGAGCGCCATCTCCCTAAGGAGATGGTCGTTGTCATCTCGCATAACGTCTCGTTGACGGGAGGCGCGATCCAGCCGTCCGGTCAGGTCGCGGATCTCGACCGCCTGATCAGCCAACAAGAGTCGCAGGTCCTGCGACCGAGAGGCCGCACGGTGCTCCCACCCCTGGATCTCCATAGCCTGGTCATGGATTTGGGCTCGCAAGGTCTGAAGTTGGGTAGTGTGCAGAGACGCAGCTTGGTCTTGGGCATCTTGAGCCGTCTGGAGCTCCGCCGTCAGGATTTGCACCTGATCGGAAAGAGCCTGGGCTAGAACCCGCAGATCGGTGGGCGACATGGAAGACGGACTGACCGGAGGTGTGGTGGATGGGGCCTTGCCCGACGATTTGCCGGTACGCTTGGCGGGAGACATGTGTCGCGAAGGGGAGAAAGCGGTTGTGGATGCTGGTAATGCACGCCGTGAACGCTGTTGTGCAGCGCCGACAACGTACAGGAGGCGATTGTGGTGAAGTGCTTTCTCAGAAATAAGAGAATGGGCCTGACGTGGGGTCACTATCCCGAATCAGTGACAATTTCAAGTGATTAGAGAGGATTTGGGTTGGTGGCACGGATGCAAGTTGCCGGTGGTGGATTAGCCATGACGAGCAGCACCCCGTATGAAGTGACGATGGATCTGGTTTGAGCGATGTACGAGAAGGCAAGATCCACCAATACTTACCTCGGATCCACCCTTACCTGGATTCACTTAAATGGATATGGGATATACTATACAAGAGTGGATCGGGTGTGGATATTATGAGGGAAGAATGGTCGGTGCCCTCTGAAGATGGATCTAGTAGCCACGACTAATGAAGAGTCAAGATTACTCCGGATCCCATACTTCCGAGTTCGGATCCATGGAGGGAGGGTCCCGCCTTGAGGGACCTGGATCCAGGGTATAGGGATGATGGATGCAGTGGATCTCGAGCTTTCGTGGGACAATGGAGATCACAGACGGTTGCGAGATGATGTTGGATGATTGGAGAGCTCAGATCCACGACGAGTGTACACTTACAGTGAGGTGGATCCAAGCGACCTGGATCCGGATGAGTGTACCCATAATATGGTGACCATGATGATTACGTCATAGATCCGGTGGATCTGAAGATAACACAGCTGGGATGATGGGTCAAGGGAAGAAGGGACATGCAGCCGAGCCTGGTAAGGGATTTAGCAGATGAAAGACATAGAAGGTAGAAATCCAGGCAGGTATAGGCTTAAATATCAATACAGACCTCAATTTGCACAGTATCACGCAAGTGCCTTCCTGCCCTCAAGAACCGGAACTACATTGGCCGTACGAGCTAGGAGAAGGTTGGGAATTGCGAATCTAGTGTTGGTAGTGATAACTGGATAATACATTGGCCAGATCCTACAACCTAGTGAGCTTTTCCTTTACTTGTGCAGATCCGACAGGTTAACCGAATTTACTACTTGGTCGGTTACACCCTAGAGGTTCTCAACTCTCAAGATCCCGTCACAGGAGGCGGCAAGTACGACGCAAAGGAACCACAAAGGCAAGGGAACACACCCGCAAGGCAACCCTACGGCCAGATCCACGATCTAGGCCCCGGATCCATAAGCTCGAGTATTCGCTTAGGATTCGGAACCATCCACGGACGCAGAGTGAAGATTTTCCACTGCTGCTCCACCCCATCCCCACGTCCCGCCAAGACACTCAAGCTTCACCACTTGAACTCTTCGGAAATTACCGAGAGAGCAAGATCCCGCCCTACCGACGGGTACACAAGGTGAGGAAAGTTCAGCAGAACACGGATCATCGGGGGACCCCTCCGTTAGTCGGTGTCTGGGCGCAGTTGGTAAGTTGGATCTGGCAATCTCGCAGATTTTGCTGATCCCGCTACACCACAATAATATGCATGCTCCACATTGAAGCGAGTGTGCGCTGACTTTGTCGAGTCAACCACACGTTTTTTCACCTTGAACTGCAGCAATTTTGCCCACTCCGAGAAAAGAGAATCCTCTGCGCTCCAGATACCGTCGATCTTGACGGCTTGCTTCTTTATGCTAGAGGAAAGCTTATCCCAAATGGCCTCCATAATGCTGTCAAAGGAACTTCCAGTGAACACTGCATCACGTTGTACTTCGCCGGATACATCCCGCTGGTTAATAGGTGCCTCTATAATGTGACGAACAAGTAGTTGGAGGAGATCATCAGGGGGTTCATTTGCTGTCTGAACTGGTGTAGTTGCTTATGGCTCCAAGAGCCCGATTGTAGCTACAGGAGCGCGTTCATGAGCAAGTAGAGTCACACCGGCTCCAACTTGAACAACAGCAGGAGCAGGTAGTGTTGCGCAGGTACCAGTAGAAGCTGCATCAGTGTGTTCTGGAGCCGATGGGGTCTCCGAAGTTCCACGAGGAGCAGCCGTAGCAAACCCGGAGGCAGGTACAGTGGCACAGTTCTCAACCCACAATTGCCAGACGCGGTGTCGCCCTGGTACCAGCAGAATCAAGCGCAGAAGCATGTGCGGTCTCCAAGGCTCCACTTGGAGCTCCAGCAGCCAACGATTGAGCAGGTAGAATCGCCCAGGTACTAGTTGAAGCCGCAGCAGCGAGCGTTGAGGCAGGTAGAGTCACCCAGAGGGAGGTTTGACTTGCTGGAGGTTGCCCTTCTTCGCTTGCTGAGAGTACATCCAGATATCGCAGAGGAGATCCTCCTCGTGATAAGCGGTTGGCCACGTTGTATGGTGATGTACGTGCATGGCTACGCCGGAGCGGGGATCGGAGTGGTGTCGACGCCATGCCTTCAATGCGGGTCCTCGCCAAGGTGAGAGTGAGAGTGATTGTCGCTGAAGCGGTTACCACCATAGGTTTATTCTGTAAGACAGGTTTCACGATTCGCTGGGCATGTGGGCGGGGGTGTCTCTTAAACGCGCGCGGAAATTTCAAATAGAACGCACAATCAACCACTCGATTATGATCTCGTTGGTGACCGATGAACCTTTTATATAATCTCGTTGGTGACTCTAACACGGTCCCTACTAAAAAAGGGCCGTAATTATCTAGAGTTTTAGGCGCTCAACAAATACTAATAGTTCTGTAATATAGTACTACTACTATAATAGTTTCTCTCAGCGTCTCGCAAATAATACTCGAGTATTAGTATTGTGGATAGTAAGACTGCTTTCATATAGTAGTATGGCGAAAAATCATGCTATTAATACTATCGATCCCTGCCACAATTAGGTACATGGCGTGTGGTGTCTTCAGTTTGTCATCGTGTGATTGTAAAATTACATGTACAGTACCGTAGATGCCTTCAACTGGCGGCAGTTCATAATCTTCCAACAGCAACGACGCCGACAATGGGGAAGAGGGGACGTGTTGGTGGCTTCCTGCTGCTGGTGTCGGCTCTAGCACTGGGCTATACATTCTGGGGAGAGCTCCAGAGCGCACGCGAGATGCTGCAGCTTACGTACGAACACCGTTCGCTCAGCGCAGACCGCGATGCGCCCCTCAAGAGCGTCACCGTGTACCGCAACGGATACTCGACTGGTGGTGTACAGATGCAGCTTAGCGCTGAGCTACTAGCTTCTCGCACAGGTGAGGGAGATCTAGCGGCGTACTTATCGCAGTTCATAGCGGTGGAAGGGCTCCACGAGTCCGTCGCGCACGAGTCTGAGGATGCCGACGAGAGCAATGAGAAGGAGTATGACGTGCCCGGCGTTATGGCAGGCCGCGTTTTCAATGGCCGAGGAGAGTTGCTGCAGAGCTACGCGGATATTCTGTCGGGCGATCGACTGTACCTCGTTGCTCCCGAGCTGCATTTCGTTTGGCCCTTTGTAGAGCTTGGCCATCGTGTGACGGTGACGTCAAAGGCCAGTCCGACCAAGGAGCCGGTGATCATCGAGTCCATTTCGGAGTCCCCACGGACATTCCGTCTGCACAACTTTTTCAGTGGAGAGGAGGCAGACAAGCTGATCAAGCGCACACTGGAGATTGATGACCCGAGCAACAAGCTCCAGCAGTCGACCGTGGGGGCGAATGACAACAAAAACAAGAAGAAGAAGTCCAAACATCGCACAAGCGAGAACGCCTTCGACACGGTCTCGGAGGCTGCGGTAGACATCCGTAAGCGTGTATTCGATGTGCTTTCGCTTGGAGAGTTCCAAGCGGACATGGCTGATGGACTGCAGCTTCTACGATACCAGCAGAAGCAGGCGTACATTGCTCATGAGGATTACTTCCCGGTCGGCGCTGCAAAAGACTTTAACTTTGACCCACACAAGGGAGGCTCCAACCGTTTTGCTACTGTCTTCCTGTATCTTTCCGATGTTCCGCGTGGTGGCCAGACTGTGTTTCCACTGGCGGAGATGCCTGAAGGTCTACCGACCGAATATCAGCACCCACCTAATTCAGCTCAGGACTACGAGGCCATCGGAGCGGAACTGTTTGAACCAGGCAGTTGGGAAATGGACATGGTGCGGAAATGCTCGACAAAGCTGGCGTCGTACCCCTCAAAAGGTGGCGCCGTGTTGTTCTACAGCCAGAAGCCGAATGGTGAACTGGACCCCAAGTCACTTCATGGAGGCTGCCCCGTGCTCGAAGGCACGAAATGGGGTGCGAACCTTTGGGTCTGGAACAGACGTCGACATGGTCTGGATTCCGACGATACTTCATGCACTGTGACCTTCACGAATCCAACGTCGCGCGAGGTGGGTCTGTATTGGTCTGGTACGCTTATGACCACGCTTGCAGCCAACGGTGGCAGCATTGAGTACAACTCATTCACGGGGCATCGGTGGGAAATAAAGGATGGAGAAAAAGTCCTGCTGGAGTACCTGGTCGATGCGGAAGATGGCGAGCAGCAGTCTGTTTCTGTCCCGCTAGCTAAAGGGGCCGCCGCCGCACTACCGAAGGCTAGCACCGCTGCCAAGGCCAACGATAGAGTCAAGTCGAAGGACGAACTGTAAAGATCAAAGGAGCAACTTGGTTCGTGCTGCGTGTGTCCTTCTTACGAAAAGTGTGCATTTATTTGAATGAGTTACTTTACTCCACCCGGCGTTTCTTGTTCTGGCTGCTGGCGACAAGGACCCTCTCGTGTTCTCCATCTCCATGGGACTGGTTCTGCTTGCTGCTTGTAGCAGCCTTATGACGGAATGTGCGACGTACGTCACCTAGGCTGCACATGTAACTGCGGCGAACACTACGATTGACCCACATTCCACAGCTATGAGCCTAGTATAGGTGGCTCTTGACAAGCTTTCGGTACTTTTGGTAAGCTACACCCACACCGCCAGCAATCAGGACGAGCATAACGAAGAACGGAAGGCGCCAGCTGGAGCTCGCCACAGTGAGCTCGCCCTCAACCTCCGTGGCAATCTTCTCGTTTACCTTGGAGCGCACATCCGCCATCTTTTGTCCAATCTTCTGTTCCATCATTGCTGTCATGCGGTCGGTGAGAGCTTGGATCTTGCGTTGGTTCTGACGCTCCTTCTCCTTGAGCTTGCTGATGGTGTTGTCCGTCTGCTCGCGCAGCATCTCGAACCAATGTTCCGTCTCGACCTGGAAGTTGGTCACATACTTCTCCAAGATCGTCACCTTGCACGACTGATCGCACACGTCGCTCTCCATCAGCGACACGAAATCCTTCGAGTAATTGTGCGACCACGTCTCGGCGTCCACCGTGCCTAGACCGGCGTCGTTGGTCTGGTCGAACGACTGAACACGCAGAATATCGTGGTTATCAGCCAAAGCGCCGGTCGACGCCGAAATACCCAAAGTCGCACGACGCAGCCAGTCATTCTGGAAGGGGAGGTTACCCTTGTGGCACTCAGTCCAGGTGCCTGTGTTGTTCGGGTCGACATCCACCTCGAGAGCGTTACCTTTGATTTTAATGCGGATGCGCGACGAGCTGTAGACGGGATCAAAATTGGCACTGTTCGAGTGGTAGCGGAAGGCGGCGTCGCAGCCGATCTTGTTCTCGTCATTGAGATCGTCTAGACGCTTAGTACCGTCGTTTATCTGAATTGTTACGTCCTTATGGCCACCACGGTGCTCCACGTTGTGGAACGTGTCTAGCACGATGCCGAAGCCCGTGTACTTGTCGATAAAGCCGTGATTGTCGCCGTTCTTCCACTGCGGCTCATGAGTGAACCAAAGGCCGATGCCGTCGCCAAACCACTTCTTTCCCTGACCGTGAATACGGTAGGTGATGACAGTGGCAAGTTCGTCCCGATTAATGGAGCTCTTGCTCCAGATGTGGCCGCGTTTGCTCTGGCGATCGGGAGTGAGGCGGATGAAATTCTTCTTGACCTCCGTGGTGCCACCAAAGATGATGTCGTCCGAGATCTGACGCCTTCCGTCCGAGTCCACCACCTCATACGGCTGCTTGTAGGTCAGCGCCTGCAGTGGGGCAGCCGACATGGTGGCCAGAAAGCTCAGCGCCGCGGCGGACATCAGCGTCACCGTCGCGACTCGACGAAACATTGCGGGCGATAGGAAGCTGCTCGATTCGCAACACAGTTTATGCGAGGAAACAGAAGTGATTGACCTCGTAGCTGTCGGACACGTGGGTCTTTTGATACCTTTTGAGCCACTTTAATACCAATTGCTGGAGGTGATCACTGATGTAGGGTGGACCACACAGCGATCTTTGCGAGCCCACAACAAAAAATAATGTGCAGTTTACTTTTCGTAAGGACACTATTGGCGTTAGCTGCCAGGAGGCTACAGTGAGCAACAACAGACACATAACGCAACCCTCACCCACCGACGGGTCTACAGCAAGTGCGACTTCATGAGCGATTGGTACTTGCGGTACACGTAAGCAGCTCCTGCCGCCAGGCCGATGAACAGCAGCGCGAACGGCGTCTTCCAGCCACCGCTGGCGATGTCCGGATTCTCCTCCAGCTGCTTGGTGATCTTCTCGTTCACTTCGTCGCCCAACACCTTCTTGGTATTCTCGAGCGACGAGTCGATGCCCTTGCGCACCTTGGCCTCAATCTCGCGCACACGGCGTTCGTTCTCGCCCTCTTGCTTCTTGAGCTTTGCAACATTGTTCTCTGTCTTCTCCTTCAGATCTGAGAAGCGGTGCTCGGCATCAATGCGAAAGTTCGACAACTCCTTCTGCAGCACAGCGATCAGGCAGTCCGTGCCGCAATTGGGCGAGTCCATCCACTTCTTGTAGTCCTTGGACACAGAGTTCATCACCATCTCCGAGTCCACCGCGCCAATAGTCGCGTCCATAAACTCTGAGTACGTGTCAAACCGGATGATATCATGGTTGTCGGCCAGCGCGCCTGTGGACGCCGTGATTCCAATAGTTGCTGTGCGCAGCCAATCCTCGCTGAAGGGCAGCGTCATTTCGTGACAGGCCACCCACAGACCAGAGGCGTGCTCATCCACCTCCACCACCAGTCGGGTCTTGTCGATCTTCACTTTGACGCGCGAGAGGCTGTGCACCGGATCGAAGTTGGCACTCTGCTCGTGATAGCGTACAGCGGCATTGCATCCGGCGCGCTTCTCTTCGTACATCTGGTCATAATTCTTGGTTCCATCGTTCACGATGACGCTGATATCTTTGTGGCCGCCCTTGTGCTCCGGGTTGTTAAACGTGTCGATGACCACACCTAAGCCCTTGTATTTGTCGGTAAACCCGTGGTTTACACCGGGCGTAAAAACCTTCTGGCCGGTGAACCACAGACCGATGCCGTCGCCGAACCAGCGCTTGCCCTGACCAGAGACGCGGAAGGTCAGGATAGCCGACAGCTCATCGCGGCCGACAGGGTTCTTCTGCCACAGATGACCGCGCTTACTTTGGCGGTCGGTGGTCAGGCGGATAAAGTGCTTCTTGACGTCCGCATTGCCACCGTGCGACCAGGTGGTGTTAACAATGCGGCGGCCCTCCGAATCTACGAGCTCGAATGGCGGCTTGAACGACATATCATCCAGCTTTAGGGAAGCAGCGTAGTGGACCAAAAGAGCCACACACGCGTACAGCAGCAGCAGCGTCAGGGCGCAGACCTTCATGGCGACGGAGATACACGCGGGGGTCTGTGAACGATTGACGCCACGTAGCGATTTTCAGCGCATCGGTAAACCCTTCCAGAATAAATACATCAAGTTTTCGAATCTTTGGGGACCACATCAAGAATACGTGGTAAGCACAAAAATCGTGCATGAAATTCTGCAAATTTAAAAACTTGACCACTTGCCATTATTTACGCTCGTATGCTTATGAACACTGTACAAATATCTTGCTATTTCTGCAGTAATGGTGAGTTTTGCGACTGCCAACCTCAGGCTAGAGCAGACAGAATCCTGGGGTTGTGAGCCGGCTGTCAACAGTCCACAGATATTTTTTTCCCTGTTTTACGGGCGCTCGCCATGAAAGTCCTCCTCTACTTGAAGCCAACCAGACAATGCATGATCTAAATACGTATATGCTGACAGCAGCTACCGAGCCGAGTAGGCTCAGCTAGCAGCCGACCGACACTCATCATACAAGACGCTATTTTGAAGACAGAACACGTCGAGGGAGTGCAAAAACGCACTACATGTTCATATACAACGTCTACTAGCGTGCCACCAACGCTAAATTGATTTCGAAAATTCTTTTGGAACTCCTTCCGCCAAATGTCATATCTCCATGTGGAGAAGCGATGTGGCCCTGGTATTATAATAAGTATGCACCATAACGCAAGTTTGGCACCAGGAATGTGCAGTCCGCCGTGGCCCGCCACCGAGGTCCGGCCATATGGGAAATGGCCCTTCTATAAGAGTTGATCTGAGAAAAACCTCGTATTATCCCCGAGGTTTTTTGTTTCTTCTCCCAGCCCCCGCCGCTGGGACTCATTTGCGCAGGAAAGCGGAAGGTGAGCGCTGAGGAACGAGACGACTTCCGGGAGGCGCCCACGCAGCAGCCGACAACAGCGCGCATACGTTTTTGCCGCTGCGAGCTTGATCTGCGCTTGGCAAACAAGGGTCAATCGCATTTCCGGCGCGTTTTTGGTGGCGTATAGGACGAGACACGAGCTATATAGAAACACCTGGAGGCTGTCGTCATGGAGTACGAGGTGATGTGGGGCGACGGCCCGTTGGGCCTGACGCTCCGCCCCGACTTGGGAGAGGACATGCCGCCTGTAGTGGGCCGCATCACACGCCAGGACTCTGCTGCTGCGCTAGCTAAAGTGGCAGTGGGTCACATGCTAGTGAGCATCAACGGCATGGACACGGCCCGCCAGGGCTACGACCACGTGGTTGAGACGCTGCAGAAGATCCCACGCCCGGCAACGCTGCGATTCCGCGTCCCGCGCGCCATGTCAGGAGCACCGAGCGCTTATCGCGACGCGTCGCGTAGTTCCTCGCGCCGCAGCCGTGGCTCCACAGGCACCACATGGTCCGAGTCCGGCAAGTCCCCTTCGAACGCAAGTAGTACTTCGCGCAGACGCGAACAGTACACAGTGGTGTGGACGGAGGGCCCCTTGGGAATGATCCTCCGCCCCGATGACGACGATTGTCACGTGCCGTGCATCCGTAAGATCACAGGTAAAGGCGCAGGCACAGGCATGGAGCGAGCTACCGTGGGGGACATCCTAGTAGCAGTGAATGGCCAGGAGACCAAGTCGCTGGGATTCCGCAGTACGATCTCGCTGCTGAAGACGATTCGCAAGCCGGCGGTGCTCAAATTTAAGCGTATGGGACGACGCATCTCGCGTAAGAGATCGTCGCAGGAATCGCCTGGAGGAAGTCGTAGTGTGAGTGGTATTCCGAGTGATATTGGATCGTATGACATCGTGTGGCGCGAAGGTGACCTTGGTCTCAAGCTAAAGCCAGGATACCGCGATGTACCGGTTCTCAGTAAGCTCACAGGAAAGGGTAATGCGAGTGGTCTGCAAAACGCTCAGGTGGGCGATGAACTCGTTTCAGTTAACGGTACGGCAGTGGAAGGTGAAGCGTATCAGGACACTCTTCGTATGCTTAAGCACTCGCCGAAGCCGGCGGTGCTGCGGTTCCGTCCGGGCAAAAACCGGCGCGAGTCGATGATGTCGGTAGTGTCTGTGACGTCGGTACGTTCGAACCCTAGTACGCAGCGAGAAGTGAGTAGCGTATCGGGTCGTCAGCATGTGCCGCTGTACGACCAAAATGCTGCTCCTCCTGAGCCCGTAGGACCACCGCCACCAGTCAGAGCATCACGGAGTGACCGAGAGCGTTCCGACCGCGATCGACCTGATCGTGAGCGGCAAAAGCGGAAGAAACGCATTCCGCTGGATGTGGCTCGTGAACTGGTGGCAGCGTCGCAAGGATCCGACTTGGACCACGCCATTTTCGCTGGTATTCCCATTACTGCTATCGAGGAAGGCTCAAAGGAGGCGCATTTGCTGCGTGTTCAGGCCAAGCTTTGCATTTCGAACCAGGCGAAGGCTGATCGCAACACTCCAGCGAAGGAGGCGTTGTCGCGTGCGGAGCAGGAAGCAAAGGTCCTCCAGGAGGCATTGGAAAAGGTGAAGAACCAGGCTAAAAAGTATGAAGAGATCCTCGAAGCACAGTCGCGCGAGCGTGTTCTGGCGTTGGCGGTACGGCACAAGCCTGAAGAGGTCGTGAAGCGCCAGAACAATGTGATTCACGAGCTGGCTGGTGTGATTTCGGGATTCAAGCGCGACTCGTACAGCGAGATGGATATCGTGCCGCCCGTGATTGAGGATAATGATCACGTGCAAAAGATTATGGACGACTTGCAGAACGTAATGAGCATCCCAGTGGTTGTTCCTACTGCGAAATTCTGTGCCGAGTGTGGTGCCACCGAGAACGAGTCGAAGCTGGACATGGATGATGATGGCGAATATTACTGTAAGGACTGCTGGGACAAGTTCCTTAACATTTCGGGGTCTTCGGCTGGTGCACCAACCGCTGATTCTCCAGCGCCAGTGGTGAAGCCCGAGGCACCAGCTCCCGCTGCTGTAGAGGAACCGATATCGATTGTCCCGCCATCTTCACCTGCACCTGCTGCAGCGGAGATAGAAGAGGATGCTCCGTCTGCTGATGCGTCTGCGCGTTCGATGAGCCGTATGGCCATCGACAACCGTGAGGCAGAAGAGCAGAAGGCGCGAATGGAAGCAGAGCGCAAACTGATGGAAATTAAGGAGCTTCGTCGCTCAGGATCAATGATGCCCGAGAGGCCGCATAAGAGCAGCTCGGACCGCTCTCGTCGCGAGCGTCGTGGTCTGGAAGAGCTTGCTCAGGCGCTGCTGGAAGAAGAAGAGCGTGCTCGCGCGGAAGGTAACGTTGGTTTGGCGAAGAAGCTGAGCGCACAACGTGCGCGTACCATGGCTGAGGCGGTTGGCGAGAACCCACAGTTAGGCACGACACCGTTTTCATCGACAAACAATTTACTGGCCAACAACGATACAGAGATCAAGAACGGATATGCCAGCCCTACCAAATCCAAGTCACCATCGTTCGTTGTTGACACGCCCTTGTCGTTGAGTCGCTCAATTAGCGCGGACTCGACCTTGCCCCCTCCTGTACCGGTGTCGGTGTCGCCGGCTACTTCGCCGGAGCCGATGCCGTCTCCTGTTGCTGACCACCACCACGAAGTTGCAGCAGCAGCCGCAGCAGTCGGCGTAACTTCAGCAGTCACGGCGGCGGTTGTTGCAATGGATGCCCCTGGCTCACCAACTACGACCGCAGAGGCAACAGCATCTTCATCTGGAGGCAACGACTACGCTGACGTGAACTCGGATGAGGAAGCTGAAGACCAGATGCATATGAGCGACGAGGAAGATGTTCTACGAGAGGTGGAGGAGAAGAACTTTGCGCTGGCGCGGCAGTTGGACGAGGCTCACAGCGTCATCGAGCGTGCGCGTATGTCTATTAGCATGTCCGGGGACGATGACGAAGATGAGGCCAACGACGGCTTGAGCGAGGAGCAGATTAGTTTATTTAAGAAACTAACGAGTCAGGCGGAGGAGCGCATGTCCATGGTGGACCGCCTGCACCCGCAGGACGACTCGGACTCGGATTCGGACTCGGACTCAGGGGAAGAGGAGGAGGAGGAGGAAGACGAAGGCGTGTGGATTTAACACAATGGTGACAGATATCTTCGCGGGATCGTTGGCTGATAAACGGAAAGGCAACTGGCGACCGCGCTGGGCCTGTGTACAAACAAGAGAGCGAGCGAGCAGATTCCTCGACTTAGAATTAGCGGCTTCGCGTTGCTGTCTTGGAAGCAGCAGCTGCTTGACTAGGGGATCCGCATCGCGGTGCCCTTCCGTGGTGGTGTTAATGCCTAGTAGTATGTGAGTAGCTTTAGCCTTTTTACCCTCTACCACGTCTTAAGACGAACATAAGCTTTCATATTCGCGTTGTCTTATTTCTTTTCAAGTCCTTGAGCCTGCGAATAACGAACAGTACCTTTATTATTTGAAGTTCTGATAGCAACATGTTGAAGTGAGTACATCACCAAATGCGTCATAACCATTGGTCAAAAGTCAGTACTTGCCGTTTGTCTCCCCCTTTGTAGACGCGATAAAGATGGCCGACCCTGTTGCCGCCCCCGCTGCTAATGATGCCGCGGCACCCGCGCAGGAGAGCTTGATGGACCGCCTGTGGCCCATGCTACGCATGCTCTTCATCTACTACACAATCACGTCTGTCATCAACATGTTCGCGCCTCAGCAGCAGTCCCGCGTCCAGAATGTGGTCGCCAAGAATGCGGACAACGTGAATAGTGGCCCCCACTCACCTGCGCAACAGCAACTTTTGCGCAACTCATTTCAGTTGGGCACACCGATCAATCTTAGAGTGTACATCACTCCCGACGAGGATTTTTCCTTTGCCGATACTGCGGACACCGCCGCCGTGGAGAGGGAGCAAGAGACCCTGCGCTGGTTTGAGGACGCGCTTACATACGACAGCACACCAAATGTCGAGCGTGAGGACGGCGTGTGGATCCGCGAGATGAATGTTTCGGTGGACGATCACCTGCTGTCCAATGGCTCGCTCTACGCGCACGTGTTCGTGACCAAGGATGGCTGCTCGCCGAACCCGGCGGACAGCACATATGACGCCATGAGCTCCATCCATCGCTCGGTGGAGCTTACAGCGTTCCGTCCGCCGCCAAAGATCGTCAAGAAGCGTAATCTTCTGGAGACACGCACAGCTGAAGAAGCGCAGGAAAAGACCGAAGAGGAAGCTCAGCAAGTGGCAAACGCCGACCGGGACGTGTACATCTCCATGTGGAAACCTTCGTTCTACGTGAACTTGGTGCTGGACCATACGACGTACTCGACCAGACAGCCTCCCCCGCCCTTCGTGTCCACCGAGATGGACGTTGACAAAGAAGCAGGCGTGTACTCTCCCGTGCTCTTCGTGAACGAATTCTGGCTGCTGGAGGAGCATCTGATCGCTGTAAACGACACGGTCACGGCTTTGCCACTGGAGATCTCATTCTACCCTCTGCCGATGTACAAGTACGCACTGTACACGCAGATGGAGCAGAATTTCCTCAACCAGGAAGCAACAGGCGCGTCCTCGAGACGGGACACGGACAATATGAAGAGCATGTTCATTGAAACCAACCCGTACCTGCTGGCAGTGACGATGGTGGTGTCACTACTGCACTCGCTCTTCGATTTCCTGGCGTTCAAGAACGATGTGAGCTTCTGGAAGAATCAGAAGTCTCTCGCGGGCTTGTCACTGCGTACGATCGTGCTCAACACTTTCTTCCAGCTGGTGATCTTCTTGTACCTGATGGACAACGACACGTCGTGGTTGATTCTGGTCCAGTCGGGTATTGGTCTGATGATTGATATATGGAAAATCAAGAAGGCGGTTGTCTTCTCGCGGGATGAAAACAATAAGCTCGTTGTGTCAGGCGCTGAGAGCTACGAGACATCCCCAACAGCGGAGCATGATCGCGTTGCTGTGGCTCACTTGTCGTACGTGCTGTACCCGCTGATCGTCGGCCAGGCTGCTTACACTCTTGTGTATGGTGTGCACAAGAGCTGGTACTCGTGGGTGGTATCGAGTCTGACCAGCTTCGTATACGCCTTCGGCTTCATTATGATGACGCCTCAGCTGTACATCAACTACAAGCTCAAGTCGGTGGCCCATTTGCCGTGGCGAGCCATGGTGTACAAGTCGCTGAACACTTTTATCGATGACTTGTTTGCCTTCGTGATCAAGATGCCGTGGATGCATCGACTGAGTTGCTTCCGTGACGATCTCATCTTCTTCATCTACCTTTACCAGCGGTGGAAGTATCCGGTAGACGCCAAGCGCACGAACGAGTTTGGTCAGGGCCCTGCTGAGGACGAGGATGCGTCGAACGCCATTGAAGCCACTGCAGCGTCTACGAAGCCTGAGGAGTCAGAATCGATAGCCGCTGCCGTTGATGCAACAGAGGAGATTCCACCTCCACCGTCTACTCTGCCGTCGACCGAGTATCTGATGTCCAAGCGTACTAAAACCCTCGAGGGGGAAACTGCAAAGCCAGAGGAGTGAACTCTTGTCTCACCAGCAAAAATGGGTGATAGATAGATGACGCGGCGTGAACTGCAGCAAGCTCTGCAATTGTAAGTGGATTGCAGTACACAAACGTTTAAGCTGTTTGCGTTTTGTTTCTGTTGTGGTGTTTTGTGTTCAGGTTGGATACTGTACTGACTGGACGATTTAGGTGCGCCGAAAACGCGTTGAAGGGTCGGAGAGTGCAAGAACCACTTGGGAAACCTGTCGCGTGAAGACGTCCAAGAATGCTGGACCTTCCGTCAGGGCTCGGTGTGGGTGCCAAGGAGCAAGCGCTGGACGACGATGCTGACATTGACATCTCGCGACTTTCAGCTGTAGACCGTGATGCCATCATGGGTCGGGTGACGCCCGACGACAGTACGCCTCCCGATGCCTTTGCGTTAGCGCAGAACGAGATCCGTCGTGAGGTACGTGGTATCTACTGAAAGTTTTTGTTTGGGGGGGGGGTATGCTGAGACACTGACGATGCTGTGTGCAGATGATCGATCGAGGCATCCAACCCAAAGGGTTCTACAATGACGACGCAGCTCGATTGCAAGAAGAGTTTAATCGTGAACATGCGTCGGAGAAAGATTCGCGTATGCAGCAGAAGATTCAATTCGCCGCCAAGAGTTATCTCCGTGAGACTGTGCACAGACGCAAATTGGAGCGCGAGAAAGAAGTGCGTGAGGAAGTCGAGGAGATCGCTAAAAACCCGCAATTGGAAGTGTGGCTTGGCCTCGCCAAGGCTGACGAGACCCCGAAGCATGCGGACCTGCGTGTTAGTAGCATCGGTGCTCGAGCTCTTTGCAAGACGCTGGCATTCACGCACTCGTTACGGTCGCTCAATCTCAGTCGCAATGCTCTCGACGACGCGACGGGCAAGTGGCTGGCGTTGCTTCTCAAGCGCAACACGTCACTTCGTCGTCTGGAACTCGAGAGTAACTGTCTGGGTCCATTAGCAGCCAAAGACCTGGCTGAGGCCTTGAGTACCAACGAAAGTCTCGAGTATCTCAACCTGGAGAGCAATCCACTCACGGACGAAGAGAAGGATTTCTCCGGTGTGGCAGCGTTGGGCAAAATGCTGGGCCAGAACAAGGCGCTGCGCACGTTGAACGTTTGGCGAACACGGCTCGGTGGAGAAGGTGGGAAGCAGTTGGCAATGGGTCTAGCTCGCAACACAACGTTGATATGCCTAGACGTGGGGAACAACCGTATCGCCACGGCAGATGCCGTCTCACTCGATGTGCAGCTCCAGAAGAACCGAGTGCTGTTTGAAGACCAGCAATTGCAGCAGCTGAAAGTCCGCGAAGCGCAGTGGAAAGCTGCAGATAAAGAGCGTGAGCGCCAGGACAAACTGGCGAAAAGACAGCAAGATGTACGTTGGCTGCTGATGTCGACATTCCTAGAGCTTCGTATTGATTTGTTTCAATGTATCGTTTGCCCTGCAGGAAGAGTGGATGGAGAGGCGCAAGATGGAGCGGGAACGCGACCGCGCGCTGCTTGAAGAGCAACGACAACGAGACCTCAAGATCGAGGAGGACGGAATGCGCCAAATTGCAGCACGCAAAGCAGCAGAGTTCGCTGCAAAAGCCGAGATGGAAAAGAAGAAAAAGAAGAAAAAGGGTGGGGCCAAGAAGAAGAAGAAGTAGCAGCTGTTTGCAGAGCGTTGAGCTCAGGATTTCTTGGCGCGAGCCTTGGCGCTCGGCTTCTTGGCGGTTTTCCTTCTTGGGCTCTTGTTCACTCGCTTCTTCCCCTTGACCCCCTTCTTCCCTTTTCTCGATCTGTTCTTTTTGCGTTGAGCTTCCAGTCCCATGCGTTTCCGTGCAAGAAACCCTCGCACCACCGCCTGCATTTTGAGAACGAAGCCGAAGAGATTGGCTTCACGATTCCGACGCGTTCGCTCCGCTAGATCGATCACGCGCTGCTCTTCAATCATGTTGCGGCGATCCTTGTCGATGCGAGTAAAATGCACGGCGAACTTGTCATTCGCAGCGTCAAGGCGAGCCACCTCAGCACGTTCCCCTTCAATCTCAGCGTCCAGCTTATCCATGTCGTCATCGTAGCGTCTTATGAGCTCACGCAGCTCGATCGCAGCATGTTGAGTATGTTTGCGTTCGTCCGTCTCCACTTGTTGGCTGGCCTGCGTCACTCGAGCTACAGTGCGTTGAATGGTTTCGACTTGCTTCTGAGCACCAGAAGTCTGCGTCTCGAAGCTGGACAGAGCGGCTTGCAGATGCTCTTCTCGATCGCGAGCTGTTGGTCCCAGAATGTCATCAGCTGCGCGCTTTGTTTCGCGAAGCTGAGCTTCCAGTCTAGCACGCTGAGCTGCGAGCTTGTCCGACATGGCCAGACGAGCTTCACGAGCTTGCGCGAGCTCAAAAGCCACTTGGTCCCGATCATCTTCAACCTCGCGTAACCTCAGCATACTGTCGCGAAGATTCAGGACAAAGCGCTCGTCCTGCTCGAAACTTGTGGACAGCGCCGCATCCGTGCTGATAATCAGCTGCATCCAGGCCTCTGTAAGACGCGATATCGCTGGTGACACGCTAGTTGCGCTAAGTTTACGCAGTGTATCCCGTGCGGAATGATCCTCCTACCGGATGTGAGTGTTGGAAGCTTAGCGCAAGTTTCCCCTTGATGGCAAGTACTGCTTACCTTCAGTCCGCGCAGTAACTGGTGCAAAGACTTCGGGAAGAGACGAACCGCCACAGGCCCGGAAAGCAGCAAAGTCTCGTCACTGTGGTGCTGCAATTCCTCCTCATCAGCATCAGAGTCGCTATCTTCCTCGGTTTCCGGTCTCTCGTCCTGTTGGGTGCTTTGCTGCTCTATCAAGCGTAGGAGTCCAGCTTCGATAACCGACTGACGGCATCGGGAAGGCGATTTTATTAGTGCCGATATCGTTCGCACAGCAACACAAGGATCACCAGTTACCTGCCGACGCAAAGCTTCTCGAACCGGGGGCTGGAAGTCGTCGCTTGCAGGAACTCTATCCGGCAGTGTCGCGAGCAGCTCCAGGTTCCGAACTGCCGATTCGAGTACACCTAGTAATCTTTCTCCATCGAGACGGACAGCATGCTCCATCGTAACTCACTCAGCATCAAAAGAGTTTGCACTTTCAGCCGTATTTTTAGTGACAAATACCAACGTCGCGTCACCTCATTTCTTATGTCTAGCACTTTTATTTCTTGGTATCTTCCATAACGTTACTGTCGGAACTCAAACTACTAGAGCTCGAGTTTCTGCTCTTGCCGCCACTGCCACTCTCCTCCAACTCCTCACTCTCAAAATCTTCATCTTCGATACCCAGTGCAATCTCATCCGCCACCTGCCCAATAATGCGATCCACCGCGTTCTCCCCCTTCAAACTACCGTCTCCAGCCACAGATACAGCATCAGTCAATGCACTCTTCCTCTTTAGTCGCTGCAGCCTCTCTGTTAAATCTCCTACCGGCGGTGCAGGCCCCGCCTTCTCGTTCTTCAAAGCTGCCAACCGAGCTGTCAGATCTGTCCGATTCCCCGGCTGAGCCTCAACCTGAGCACCATCCTGCTGTGCTGCAAACCGACGCAGCTCCTCCAACCTCGCACTGAGATCCATAGGCAGCGGTGATGTGGCCACATCCGCTGGCACGGTAGCAAAAGGTGCAAGTGGAGGTGGCGTCTGCGTTACGTCACCAGCGCTCTTGATTTCTTTCTCTAACCCCCTAACGGTGCGCTGTAAGTCTGCTCTCCTCGCTCTCAGGAATTCTCTCGATCTGTCATCTGTCAGCAGCTTTTCAGCCTCCCAGAATACTCGCTCAGCCTCTTCATACAGCTTAATGGCCGTCTCCAGATCTCGACTGTTCTGTGCCCTCTCTAACGTCGCAAAGGCTTTGTCCAGCAGCTTCTTCCCTGGATCTACAGCCTCCTCACCACTCAAGCAGCGCAGCAGCCGCTCGCGAGTGAGTTCCGCATCCACAAAAACCTGCAGCACTTGGGTTCTAGCCGCCGTTTGGTACAATTGAGCGCGTTTCACGTCGTCCAGCGGCCGTACCGTCAGATGCAATAACTTCTTGGCTTCTTTCTGGTCACCACTACGCTTGGCAGCATCTGCCGGTCCAGAATTGAGCACTATGTACTCGGTGTGACCCAATTGCAGCACGATCTGCGGGCGCTTCCAGAACGGAAACACTTGGCTACGAACACAAAGGGATTCTTGGCTGTAGCGTGGCGAGTAGAAGGTCGTTTTGGCCTCGAGCAGCAGCCACGCGATACCCTGAAAGAGCAAACTCGACGACGCCATGATGTCAGACGATCAATTTGTATTTGAAAAAGATTATATCAGTTTAAAGCGGTTTATGTGGGCGGCACAAAGTTGCCGCTGTATCCTGATTTCTAATTAGTCATACCCTGACTAATAGGGGAGTCGAACATTAAGAAATGGTCCAAACAAATAAGCAGAGCGTAGGAGTAAGGGAAACCAATTAAGGGCCGTTCAAAGCAACCTTCTCTTGTTTTGATTGTACCTTTTGATCTAGTAAAAAGCAAAATATGGCCTTGGCATCAATCAAAAGCTGACACAATTGTACATTTCCCTGGCTATTGAATTGTTTTACATCAGCTATGGTGCGTTCAGTAGGACAAATTAAAACAGTGCATAAAGTGTGACGGCCATGCCAAATAAGGGCCGCTTGATTTCACTATGGGCTGCTAAGTAATCTCTTATATGACACCTTAGTAGTGGCCAATGAAAATAGATAAGCCTGAAATTCCGAATTGCCTATTGGCTAACCGAATCCGGCCCTTAACCGGTCACCGGCCCCTAATTGGCATTTTCCCTTAGCAGAAACAGTAAAAGGGGAGTCGAACATAGAGCTCGATTTCGCACTTAAGAAGAGACTATTTGAATTTTTTAAAGCGACGACTCGCACAGACACTGCTGTGGCGACGCCACAGGCTACAGGGCGCGTGCCCTGGGGCACTGTCGCTGTGCTATGAGTGCAGCCTTCTGTGCGGCATCTATCTCCAATATGTGTGCTGCACGACGCGCCTTGAGGCACCCGACTTCTGACCGGAGACGGGTGCAGAGCGACGCGCGCATTCCTCCATTTCTATGCCGGTCTGGTCAGGAAATAAAAACGGCTAGCTCATTTTTAATGTAAGCGCTTACTTTGAAAGTGAGCAGGTCGTTGTCAAAAGTGTGAGCGTAATCCGAAGGGGATTTTGAGCACGTTTTTTTGCAATGTTCGACTCCCCCTAATACCGAACTTGCCGTCCCCCACCGCTACGCGACAGGGTGGCATGGTTTGTTGGAGATGAGGTGGCCGCAGATTTAAGAGCTTCATTGTGTCGCGTGCATCGTAAAAGTCGTTCACCCCAGTACGTCGTGGCTTCGTGTACTTGAACCACTTACCATTCCGTACTGTCATGTGGCCCCGTTAGATATCGTGGTTTGGTACGCTTCCGTTGCTTCGTACTACTGGTTGACGTCCATGATCCTCCAGGCTTCGTGGGTTTCTACTCACCCGTGGCTTACGCTGCTTAGAAGTTACGTGTTCTCTCTTTTGGTTTCGTGCTCGCCCGCCGTACGACTCGCTTTACGTGAGCTACACATGTTTCCTGGTCCATAATCATGCATAATCCTTGGCGTTCCATCACCGGTAAGCTCGCTGATGGGTGTTCTTTCGTAGTTGCGTTGATCCGTCGCCCGTGTATCGTGCTCTCCTGGTGTGGCTTCATCAAACGGGTTATCTCGCTGTCATGCAATCGCGATGCGATTCTTCTGTCTATGCTATCGAGCTAGTGTAGTGTATATACATTTTGTGTGTTATCGTGCTCCGCGGTGTGCAATCGTGGTCCCCTGAAGCATTCCTCCGTGCTTCTATGGCTGACCCGCCGTCCGCGCAATCGTGTTCTAATGTACTATCGTCCCCTGTCACTCTTTTGAGGCGCAGTTTCTTCGAATGTGGACTCATATTTGGAGTGAATTCTGTTTTGTTTCGTAATTTATAAGTTTATGAGCGAAAATTTACAAAAGCTGCAGTAAATGCTCATTCCGATAAGGCGATCCTATACACATCAGCGTAATCACGATCGACGTGTGTGACACTCGCTATTAGGCGCTCAATTACACGAGGTTTTACTGCTTGTTAAGTCGATATGTATCAAATCAGAGGGAAATGTCATCAAATCATTGAAAGAAGCACGATATCAGCCAATGGGATCATTGTAACATTCTTCGTGTATTACACACAAAACGAAATCCCTATAAATTGGTGAGACAGAGAAGTACCCCTGGTTTCTACAGCAGAAAATTATCGGAAACGGAAAGCAAGTGGCCTGCGCATGAGCAAGAGCTTTATGCCATAAAACATTTTCTCGGTCGATGGCGACGCTATTTGCTCGGTGATTATTTCATCGTTCACATCGACAATTCTGCGTGTCGATGGTTCCTTCATCACACAGACGTTTCGCCGAAGATGACTCGGTGGTTGGAATTTCTTGGCCAGTTTGAGTTTGAGCTTATACACAAGATGGGAACGGCAAATGTAGTGGCAGACGCTGCCTCTCGGCCTCCTGTGTGCGGCACTCTGCTGGGTTCCTTTGTCTTCCAGACCCACTACGTTACGTGAGCTGCCAAGCTGTTGACTGAAGGTGTTGCTGCCTTCATATCTTGTTTAGAGGATCATTACGAAGTCTCCTGCAGTCACCCATCGCTTTTAGTAGTGGGGGAGGATGATGACTTCGTTCGAGACATCAAGCAAGCGTACTCGAAGGATAAAGACTGCGCTAGTATATTACAGGCACTGCAACGGCAAGACAAACGTGTGCTTGAGAAGTACGAACTTCGTGACGGAGTTCTTGTGGTACAAAGCACGGATGCTGTACCAGTACTTCGCGTGCCTCAAGTGGATACTATTTTGCTCCGGTTGATGCATGATTTTCACGACTCAGCTGTGGTGGCACATCCTGGTGTTAAGCGTACAATGGTGGCGATGCGTCATATTTCTGGTGGCCTGGGATGCGGGATCATAAAGCTCAGTATATTACGACGTGTGAGGCTTGCGCACGTCATAAATCGGGGTCCCGACGTCGAAAAGGCTGCTTCAGCCACTCCCTGTTCCAGAGTATTGGTGGTAACATGTGACAACGGATTTCATGACGGTGTTACCAGCTAGTGAGGGACTCGACGCAGTTTACGTGGCTGTCTGCCGCCTCTCGAATGGACCGTGCAACATTCCAACAACCAAAGATTTGGACGCTAAAAGAACTGCTCGATTGTTTTTTTTTACCACGTCGTTCACTACTATTCACTCCCAGACTCAATCATATCCGATCGTGATCCAACGTTCACAAGTGAGGTTTAGCGAGAGCTGATGACTATCATGCAAGCCAAACAGAGAATGGCAGTTTCGAAGAGAGCTAAGGCGGACGGCCGAGATGAACGGCAGATCGGAGCACTGGAATACAGTCTTGGATGCGCTGTCTCGCATTACGGGGATGACTGGATGAAGATGCTACCGACTGTTGAATATGCCCATGCGACGTTAGTGTCAACGTCAGCTCGTATTTCTCTCATTTGAAATTGATTGTAAAACCACGCGCACCAATTGTTCTTCGAACCGCGTCAAGTCCTAAAAGCGTGGCTCAGAAGATGTCACGATCGCGACAGGAAGCAGCTGAGTTCGCTCAAGTAATCTTCGACTAGCTCAAAAGAGACAAGCGCAATATTTCCAACCGTGGACGCAAGCAGGTGCAATTTAGCGAAGGTGACTTGGTGTATATTGACTCTCGAGTCCTCAGCAATGCGTTTGGCCAACCAGACTACGACCCAGATCGAGATCTCAACCGCAATAAGCTTCTACCCAAGTGGTACGGTCCGTTTCCAGTAGAGCGTCGTATCGGCGAGAATGCATATCGTGTTGCAGTACCAAATCGCTACCTTTCACGAGGACGCCACGCAACGTTCAACGTCGACCACGTGAAACTATCACTCGATGTTCCCGAGATTTTCGAGGCCGGCAGATCACAAAGAGTGCACCTCGAATATACGACGAAGATAGAGAAATAGGCTATGTAATCCGAGAGTTGCTGAAGAAACGTCGACGTGGCGGACGTGTGCAGTACTTTGGATGTCTTGATTAGCAAGAATAGTAGTTTCCTCGGGATAAGGAGCCAGCAGCAGAAGCGCGACCCTCGCTAGTACTTCTGGTTCAGCAGGTGTTCCGGTGCGGCAGAGTCCACTCATTGTAGTGCTATAGAGCGATGGACGAGTCCGACAGATAGAGCAGCCTCAGTTCTCAAATTTCCTATAGCAGCTCAAGCAGCTCAACTCCAGAACTTCTCTAGCCTCACCGCCTCCGTCGTCATGGCCCATCCATCCACATCGATGTCCTCGAACAACGCATCACCGGCCTTAGGCTCGCCCAGGCACTTGCCACAACCTACCTCAACGGCGTCGAGCGCTCGCCACCAATCACCACGCGCGGCCTCCCCTTCGGAGAGTGCACCGGCAGCACCTTCAGCGCCGACACTTGGTTCAAGCGCTGCGGCCGCCTCGGACGTCGTGGACCCTCTTAGCTCGAGCGCTTATCCACCGACTACGACCGGATTGCCCAATAGCGCTGAACCATCGGCGGCGGAGTCCACGCGTTCGTCCGGAAGTGCGCCCCGCCGGACTCTTCTCTCTCTCTGGGCCGTCCGATTCCTTCTATTACATACTTCAGTTTTTAATACTGACACCTTAAACCACTCGATCACCTTCGGTACGCGTCGACAATGAGGCACTGTACGACGTGATCTTCATCGACGAGCCCGATCCTTCGTCCAGTGCAGCGGCACTGTCCCCGGGTCGCTCAAGCGCGCGCATCCGAGCGAAAGAAGTGGCTAAACGCATCAGGGCGGAATCGCGTAAGGCCAAGCGCGTAGACCCTGTGTCTGAAGCCGACCTTGCAGATGCCCGCAAAAAAGAAGCGTAAAGCCGTCGCGAAGCCCCGGACTGGTACTCCAACCACGCAACAAAACAACCCATCCGTCCGCAGTGAGACGGGTGACGCGCTTCCGATCCAGCCTCGACACCCTAACGCAGCATCTTCTCCATCGACTGAGCCTCTACCTGTCATTCCAGACGCGACCATCCCGGCACCACTACCCGGCGCGTTTCCACCCGCTTGTGGAGACGACCAAACAGGCCTCCAGGCGGCATACGCCAAGCAGGTAAACACGGTAAGCGCCACGTCAGTAGCTCCTCCGTCTCGTGGTCGTGAAGAACCTCTCCCTGGAACATCGAGCTCCGCCCCTGTGAACTCAGCGTTCAACCTC